GATGTAGCCTGTACACGTGGGAGCATGTGGAACGACAATGCAGGGCACACAGCCCCAGAAGGCTGCACCAGAGGACCTGTATGTTAATGGCCACAGGTGTCTGGAGAGGCCAGCCATACTCACGACACCAGGGTAGAACATCCTCCCTCCTCAAGCCACTACTACAAGGAGGGTGGGGACATGGGCACGTTTACACTGGAATGAGGTGTAACAGGTAATTCGAACTAAGGACTTAGTTCGAATTACTGTTTTACTGCCGCGTGTAGCCGCGGGCAGTTTGGTCGCCATTTTTAAATGCCACTAGTCCGCCTGAGGGGAATATGCAAATAAAGCCCGGGATATTTAACTCCTCAAGCCACTACTACAAGGAGGGTGGGGACATGGGCACGTTTACACTGGAATGAGGTGTAACAGGTAATTCGAACTAAGGACTTAGTTCGAATTACTGTTTTACTGCCGCGTGTAGCCGCGGGCAGTTTGGTCGCCATTTTTAAATGCCACTAGTCCGCCTGAGGGGAATATGCAAATAAAGCCCGGGATATTTAAATCCCGGGCTTCATTTGCAAGTTTGAATGCCTAATTAGCCTCCCTAGTTCGAAATAGGGGGCTAGTGTAGACATACCCTTTCTCTCTCTCTCATCAGTATGGAACATGCCCGCCCTCTTGGGGCAGCATCCACTCCTGGGGACAGCACAGTGAGGCGCAGGAGCATCTGCCGCTCACACACACCTCCCCCCGCCAACACCCTGTCCCCCTCTCTCCCAGCGGGCAAAGATACAAGTCTTCTCTATGTAGGACGCCGCCACTGCCAGACCCAAAGGGCATGTGGCATGGAGGGGAGCCCAGCCACTCTGTTCCCCCACCCTCGGGATCCCAGTCTGGCTGGCCCCTCCACATGACTGTTTGTCCCCGGGACAGGGGGATAGTGAGGCTCCTCCCCGGGGACATCTGGGCCCCTGCAGGCAAGGGCCCACTGCCTAGAGCATACGTGACCTTGCTCCAGGCAAATCGCCTTCACCTGAGTCGAGAACTCTCGCTCTCGGCTCAGAGATGAGGGCTAGGCTTCAGGCACGGTGTCTCCTGGGATGACTGACTATCTCTCTTTATTCTCCACAGCTGAATCAGCTGTGAGAGGGGGGCAGTCGATACCACACGGGGCAATCTCCCAAACCCGATGGACCCGCAGGTGCCGGAGACCCATGGAGATGAGTTCCAGAGGGAGCACCTCGCAGCACTCTGATCCATGGAACAGAGCATAGCCTGCAGGCTCCAAGAAGATCTCCAGCTGCGGCGAGATACCTGTCAGGAGATGGTGGATCAGGGCTGTACCATGTGCACGGCTGTGCAATTCCTGATTGCCAGCATGCTGCCTGCCCCCACTCCTACTCCCACACCTGTCCTCCGCCCCTGCTCCACCCGCTTCTCCCCCAACCACCCTCGTGGCCACCGAGGCCCCCTGCACCCATGATGGTGGGATCCCCAGAGCCAGGTGCCACTCCCAGCTCCATCCCTGAGCCTCTCCTCACCCCTCCTCCCCCTGCCAGTTCCCTCCTCCTTGCTCCAAGGTTTTCATCCTCCTTCTTCCCTGCTTCCCCGCCCCCCCTCCCCAAGTTCTTTCCTCAGTCCCTCCCAAGTTATTTTGACCCCAAATAAAAACTACACAGAGTTTATTGTTTCCAAAAAATATTATTTTATTGTCCCTGCAAGGGAGGGGGAAGAGGGGGAAGGGAGGGCTTTGGGAGGAAAGGCAGAGAGGGGCAATGCACAGGCCCCTGGTGGTGAGACCCAGGGGAGAGTGTTACTGGGGTCCTTGTGAGAAACTCTCCCTCAGGGCCTCTCAGATCCGCATGGCCCCTTGATGGGCCCCAGGATGGCAGCCATGCGTGGCTGCTTGAAGGCCCTGCTGATGCAGTCAGCCTCTGCCCCCCCACCCTGGCAAGAATGCCTCCCTCTTCTGCTCACAAATTTTATAGAGCACACAACATGCAGCCACCATGTGTGGGATGTTCTGCTCCCCGGTGTCCATCCGGGTGAGGAGGCATCTGAACCGAGCCTTCAGATGCTTGAAGGCACTCTCACCACCATGCAGGCCCTGCTGAGCCTGGAATTGTAGCGTTTCTTGGCGTGGTCAAGGTGGCTGGTGTAGGGCTTCATGAGCCAGAGCAAGAGAGGGTAGGTCGTGTTCCCCCACCATGCAGAGTGTCGTGTCCACGTCCCTGACCCTGATGGTGCGCTTGGGGAAAAAAGTTCCAGCCTGCAGCTTCTGGAACACACGTGTTATGGAAGATGTGGGTGTCGTGTGCCTTCCGCAACCACTCAATGAAGTTGTCCATAAACTGGCCCTGGTGGTCCATGATGGCCTCCAGGACCATCGAGAAGTATTCCTTCCAGTTAACGTAGACAGATGCCCGGGGGTCGGGGGTCCGGATGGGAACATGGACCCCTGCATTTGGGGAAGCCCATGTTGGCAAAATGTCCACGATGCCCAGGTGGATGACCCTATGCAGCAAGATGGTGTTGATGGCCCGCACTATCTGTAGAAGTAGACAGACAAACAAACAAACAGAGAATCTGAGGGTTCCTGCAACAAAAGGCAGTTTTTGGCAACAAAACATGCGGGTGTAGACAAAGCCTTAGTGTTTTTTATTTGTAAATTTTTACATCCCTAGTTAAAGGCCCACAGTACCCTTGCTTCCCAAACTGTGTCTTTGGCCCCTCCTGAGTTCTCTCTTATCTTGTCCCTTCTCTGGCATTCAGCAATACCTTCTTTCCTCAGGGCTCTTTGGGTGTGTCTACACTAAACTGTTATTTGGGTGTCTACACTACACAGCTATTCCGTTATTTTGCAATAATTTCAGAATAACAGACAGCTTATTCTGAAATCTAAACCTCATTCTACGAGGAATAACGCCTATTCTGAAATAGCTATTTTGAAATAAGGCATGTGTAGATGCTGCACTGCTGCTATTTCGAAATAGCCCATCACCAGGGCCATTCTAAGTTATTTCTCCCCAGTGCCTCCTGGGGCTTTAAATTGAGATAGCATGTCTACATTAGGGAAGCTTGCCTTGGACTAATTTTGAGGCTTCTCTGCTGTGCAGGTGAGCTATTTTGAAATAAGCTATTTCAGAATAACTATTCCAGAATAGCTTATTTCGAAATAAGTGTACAGTGTAGACATACCCTCTGCCAGCTAATGCAGCTCTTCAGCCAAGTCACTCTTTGCAATGTAATTCACTCTCCTTCCAGGGGATATCAGAAGTCCCACAAATACTGACCCTCTTCTGGGTCTTAAATCTCTTCCCTACGCTTACCTCCCTTCTCAATGCCTTATCCACTTCCCTAGTGGCTGGTGGGGGAGATCCTGAGCCCACCCATTATTTCAGGTCCCCCAACCAAAGGACCCCCTGTAAGTAGCAGCTGCCTGCTAGCTCCCTTTACTAATTGTTGTATTTCTTTGGGCCACTTCCTTACAGCCCCATTACTTTCATCTTCACCCTCATCTCAGGGCTGAAGTCTTTCTTAATCCTCTGTAGCAAGCCAGGAGCACATTCCTGTCCCTTCCAGCAACTGCTCTGTCAAGTCTTTCTTGAGTCCCTGCAGCCAGCCAGGAGCAGCTTCGTTGCTCCCCTGGCTCCAACCAACAACTGAATCTGGCCTATCCAGCAGCTCCTTTTTATATGAAGCTGCTGGACTCTGATTAGCTGCTCCTTGCAGCCTCTCACTGATTGGCTATTACCTCAGTCTAGGCAGCCTGGAATACTCTCCTCTACTGCTCTTTCCTGGGTGGCAACAGGAACCCTCCAGCAAGAGGCCTCAGTGCCTAGTACTTTCTTTCATAAGTTGTAATCTATCTTCAGTGCGCTTCATAGACATCAAGTGTACGTGACTAATATTATATAACTTCATGCACATTTATATGTATGGAGCATTTCAGTATTGAAACATAATAGCTCTGGTGATGTCTTATAGAAGATCAAATGCTACTGAATGTAGCTAAGTATATGGCCACAAAAAATTTACACACACACACACCCCATTCACTGGTTGGCAATAGCGATGTTAAAAAGCAGGCAACTGGGTAACCGTATAACTGCTGAAAATGTCAATGGTTATGCACACCTGCAGCCAGTTCCCTGGGAGCCAATGCATGCCAGGAGCCAGCTTTTAAGATGGCTCCCAGCACGTACTGGCTTCCGCCTACCAGCCCTGCTCCCAGAGAGCCATCTGCTGCCCTGAAGCAGCATGGGGTAGAAGTTGGCTCCTGGCGAGTACTGGCTCTTGACTCCCGCCTCACACTGCAGAGCCCGCAGTGTGGGGAGGGGGACAGCCCACTCCCCAGGAGCAGGGAAGTAGCCTGCATGTAACTATTCATGCTAACCGATAAGCCCGGGCTTATTCTATTACATCGTTATCCTATTACATCGGTAGGTAGCAAAGCAACAGATAATGTATTTTGTGTGTCTGCTGGTGATGCCTACGAATATACTGAGTATCACATTGGATATCAAGTTTGCATTATTAAGTAAAGGGAGGGTTTTGGAAATGATTGTTATAGGAAAGTGCATTAGGAAAGTGAACAACAACAATATTAACACTACCGGTGTTTCTTTGAGTTCTGAAAACATTTAAAGGAAAGAGCTGGAATTAAAAGCTGAAATACTGACAAAAAACCACACTGTTTTTCCAGTAAATTGAGAGATTATTATAACATGAAATTTTATACATTTCAGGTGTGCTACCATGATCTGAGCTAGTGTCTAGTACATTATGTGAAGACTAACTAGAATATTTAAATGGTTACTTTGTATTTTTTAGGATGATAATATAAAAGCAAATTCTAATTGTCCTCTTATGGGGGACAATTCTAATTGTACTCTTGTTGTTGTTTTTTAAAATAGGAACAGATGTCTCAGGTATTAGATGCTATGTTTGAAAAGCTGGTTGAAGGAGGAGAGCATGTCATTGATCAAGGTGATGATGGTGACAACTTCTATGTAATTGATAGGTGAGTGATTATATAGAATTGAAACACATGGGATTATGCACAGTCGTAACACTAACAATTTTTTTTGCATGTACTTTCAGTTGAATCGGTTGTATGGAAGAAAATGCAAATATATTTTATCAGAGTTAAAGGTCATTGAACTATAGACCTCTGTCAGTGAAGAAAATCTAGTCTGATTTCACCTGTAATGAAATCTTTGCAAATGAACACATAACTCCTCTTTTACTGTTATGTTCTGCCACAAAGATTATTTGTCAACTGGAAACTGATTTAATGTAACAAATAATTGGAAAAGATTTAGCATTCAGGATTTGAAATCTTACATGCTCAATGCTGTTGGTAAAGTTTCTTGTTACTAAGAACATAACTTAAAATTTCAAAGACTTGCACAAGTTTAATGACATTTCCCATGTGGGTCTAATACTTCATAGAGCAGATTAATAAGTAAAATGATAGTTATAACTGCTGAAAATGTGATTTAGAAGTATCTTTTGTCATGCTGCTGCTGTTGCTGCTGTTTACCTTTGACAAAATTTTTATAAAATCATCAATATAGGTACTGACCCCTTCCAAGGTCATCTGTTTTCAGCATGTGGGTTCCCTGTGCCCACAAAGATTAGAAGTTCTGGAGGAGGGGTCCCCATTGTCTGTGGCAGCCAGGAGCTGTGGGGTACTAAGCTGCCTGCTGTGGCTTGGAGTGGTGGAGGTACTGTACCTTCAGCTCTCTGCCCTTGAAGGATGTGGGGGATCCTGCAGCTCCCAACCGGGGCAGGCTGAAGTCATGGAGATCACTGGAACATGGATTCCATGACTTCCAGTGACCTCCAAAACTAAATCATAGCTTTATTGATAAATAATGTTGTGGGTTTGCTTTGTTGTTTAAAGTTAAAACTTTATATCAGATGGATGTACAATATCTTTATTTTGTGTTTGCTACTCTTTATAAGAACTCACAGTATGTGTTGCCACCATTCTGACTATATGTTCTATTTGGGTCTGGTAGCATCCACAATGACCTGGTAGTAGGCACTTCCAAGGCATAAGGAGGTCAGACTCTACATTGCAACCTACCAATTCTTGTTTAAAAGAACACTTTACATTAGAAAGTGTTTTTATATTTTAAATTAATTTAATGGTAGAAGCATAGTTTTCAGAAACCATTTATTTGTGAAGACTTATTACACAGTTTGGTTAAAAGGAAATTGTTAAATAATTTAGATCCAAAATGTGTTCATCTTTATTACTTAATAATTGATTTTATGTATATGTAGTTTATAATTGTCATTCCAATTCTGATTTTTTTTATTTTTTAAAAGCAAAGCTACTATATCATCACAAAGAAGTTGTAACTGTCCCCTTTAAAATTGTCACCATTTCTAGAGCATATACAAATAAGTGAGATGTTCTTGCAAAGTGCTCAGTATAATTTAAATGAACAAAATGTATATTTCCAGAGCAATGCCATCAGTGTAATGCATAGTGCATAATGAACTTGGTAAACTAAACAAATAAGGTAATAACCTGAACTGTCTAACTCATGAGTGGGTAATAAAACAGCATCAGTTCGCCAGGGTTAGCCCCTGCTGAGCCGCCACTGGTTTATTTAATTTTGCCTCCACAGGTACGGGTACTTGCAACTCCCTTTAGCCATGGATCACTGTTCCCAACTAATGGGAGCTGTGGGAATCAACATAGACCAGGACACTGATTCCCGCAGATCTTATTGGCTGGGAGTGGTGATCTGTGGCCTAAGGGAGCAGCAAGCACCTGTACCTGCAGAGAGGCAGGTAAATACAGGGACAGCAGCCTGCCAGGGACTAACCCTGGAAACTGAATCCAGTCCACAGGTCTGTATTTGCCCACTGCTGCTCTAACTTCTCCCTAAGGAATATGGGGGAGTGGAGAGGATGGATGTCTACTCATTGTATCTGTGTATTTTATTAACAGAGGAACATATGACATTTATGTAAAATGTGATGGTGTTGGGAGGTGTGTTGGTACCTATGATAACCGTGGAAGTTTTGGTGAGTTGGCCTTAATGTACAATACACCCAGAGCAGCTACCATAATTGCTACATCTCCTGGTGCTGTATGGGGTTTGGTAAGTGAAGTATTTCTTTGAATGAATTTTTCATTAAAACATTAATGTCTTTATATAAAATAATTTAAAATTGTATAGCTGTATCTACAATTATTTGAAATTTAAAAATTTGTCTTATAATTGGAAATGTATTATTAATATTAGACGCCTTTTAAGATTTGCAGAAAAAGCCTGGGTAAATACTGTCTTTGCTCAACTTTGAATGTAAGCTTTAAGCAAACTTGAACCTCAGAATGGCAATTGGATATAAAAACCCACAACAAAATTTTCTCAATAACTTTCAGAGTTTAGTATCATGTTCCAACTATAAGAAACATACCATTTTTTTTGCCATATAGTGAAGATTTTCCTGGATTTTGAAAAACATTAACGCCTTTGTCTATTTCTATACGGCTCTTGCCCCCCAAAAGTGCGGCTCATGGAGCTGCTCCTGCACCCCCCCCCCCCCCAAACATCTCCTCCCCCCTCCCGGCTTCCCCCCAATCCCTAGCTTCCCTGTACTTACTGGGTCAGAGCTGCGGGATTTTAAAAATGGCACCTAAGATGGTGGCTGTCTTAAAGGGGCAGCCTCCTTTTTTAGATTTTTTTTGTTTTGTTTTTGCTTGACAATTCTGGTGCGGCTCTTCACATTGTTTCCACTGCTGTTTTGGCTCTCTCTGTTAAATGTGTTGGCCACCTCTGATTTACAGTATAAAAAATATCCAACATCATGTTAATTGTTAAGTTTTTTATATCTGGAGTCTGCACAATAGTAATTACAATTGACAAAAAATAATTGTGGTAATACTTAAATTTGTATTAAATATGTTGAAAAAACTGTTCTCCATCAAGGCTTATATATTGGTGTGGTAAGTGATCCCAACGTGCTATTTCAGAGCAGTGCTTGGTGTAGGGGAGCATATGTGACTTTCTGCCACCTACATCCCTTACACTGTTGGCCTCTCTATGGATATATCTACACAGCAGCATTATTTTGGAATAACGTTAGTTATTCCGAAATAGCAAAGAGCATGTCTACACTGCAAAACATTATTTTGAAATAATGGTGAGCTAGAGGACTTCTTACTCTGACTCCTGTAACACTCATTTGAAGAGGAGAAAGGGAAGTTGAAGGAAGAGTGTTCTTTGTTCGATTTCCTGCTGTGTAGACTGCACCAAATGCCGAATTAAGCTATTTTGACTTAAGCTACACAACTGATGTAGCTCAAGTTGTGTAACTTAATTTGACTTTTCTCCTGCTGCGTAGATGTGCCCTACATTACCTGGAGCAGCCTAAATGCTGCTCTAAATTGTAATGGGGTTGTAATGGCTATCCAGGGCCATTGAACTATTGGGATTACAGTGCATTTCAGCCACATACTCTTGAGCTGGGTGGTGTGAGAACAAGATAGAATGACATACATCTGGGTACCCCATCTTTCTATTGAAAGGATTGCCCCACATCAGGGAATTCCCTTTTGCCCACCTACGGCAGCTTTATGTTCCCTTTGTGATGCTAATGTGGTATGTAGAATATGGTCTGATGTGTTTGGTTTAGCTAACATGAAGCTCATTATTTGACATAAATGTGCTGAGAACTATGGGATGAACAGATTTAATTGCAATATTTCTGAGATATTATTAATCACCTGAAATTATATATTTTGTTTTTCCTTAGTCATTTACTCCAAGGCTACGTCTACACTGGCCCCTTTTCCGGAAGGGGCATGTTAATTTCAGAAGCCGTAATA